GCCTCGCTGAGAGAGCAGTCCAAACATTTAAGCAGGCAATGGTGAAGCTAAGTGGATCAATCAAAAAGAGATTGAGCCAATTTCTGTTTCAATATCGCATCACCCCAAGTCAACAACAGGAGTATCCCCGGCTCAACTCTTGATGGGGAGGAGGTTGAGAAGCCATCTTGATCTACTCCACCCAGATACAGCTGATAGGGTAATGAAGAAACAAGAGAAGAGTGTCACTAACACTAAAAGACCTCTCAGACAGTTTAAATTAGGTGAGAAAGTTTTAGTTAGAAATTATAATGGTCCAAAATGGATTACGGGAAAGATTGTACGAATCACAGGTCCTATCTCATATCAAGTAGAAACTGAAAATGGCTTGATGCGTCGTCATGTTGATCAGTTGAGAAGACAATACTTTGAAGAAAACACTGACTCTAATGATAATGATATAGTATCAGATGATGATGATGACTGGATAGGACATGATCAGTTCTCACATAACCCTCCTGCTCCTGAGGCCTCAGCTCCACCTGCCCAAGCAGATCGTCCGGTTCCCACTCGTTATTCGTCAAGGTCCCGACCTCCTATCGATCGATATTCTCCCTCACGATACACTTAAAGGGGGAGAAATGTGGTATCTTTATATAGATAAAATTTGGTATCACTATACATGTACTTGCATACACTACACTAACTACCAATTTATCAATCTATTATTACATTACATGCATACTTATTATTATTCATGACTATTATGGTTATTAACAATTATTATGTATGTGCGTAGGTATTACAATATTAAGTATTGTTTTTGTAATGCACACACGTTTTTTTCGTTTGTTCTTTCATCATTCTATTCTTGCTTTCATTACGTTCGTTCATACATTCAGTTTTTGTTCTAAAGAGATATAACACATGTACTATAAATAGTAACACACATACAATGTAGATGTATTTGTAGATGTCATGTAATTTTGTATTAAATTTGATTATTTGTAAAAATAATTTCTGAACACAATCAACAGCAAATTTTATTATTACAAAGTATTGGATATCTACCTGTCTGGAGGGTGTTATGGGCATATAATACCCGCGAGAAAAGTGGTCGAGGGCGTAGCCCGAGACCACTTTTTTCAAGGGCCATACACCCTCCAGACAGGTAGATATCTAATTTACACTATAGCCACAATGAGTCTAGCACATGCCCTACACTTATCTATGGCTTCATTGGTTTACTTGTCAAACCACTTTGTCAAAATAAGTAACAGTGCTATAAAACGGCAACATGTTGCTTGCAACAATTGTGGTTACTTTGATCTTTTGAGCAACTGTTGCAAAAATAGAACCGGCTGAGTTCTATTTTTAGCAACATGTTGATTACAAAATCAAGGTAACCACAAATGTTGCAAGCAACATGTTGCCTGGTGTATGGAGGGCTTTATGGGTATATAACACCCATGGCACATCAAAAGTTGCTATGGCAAAAGCACACGCCCATAGTATGATAACATAAATACTATTCCATTTAAGTACATGTGTTTTTCTCTCTATTTTTGATATTCATAATGTGTGGGTGGGTATCAATGAATCTAATTAACTGATCTCAAGATGTCATTAGAGGACAAGTGTTGGACTGCGTTTGTGAAAGGAGATCATGAAGAAGCTGCCCGCTTACTACCATTAGTGAAGGAACCAAATAAAATTAAAAGAAAATATGATATGTGGATTGATACTAGTTTGGTTCATTTGTCTTCAAGGCATGGCTGGTTAGATGTTACAAAAGATCTCATCACTAAATATCACTGTGACCCACAGGAAAGAGGTGGACTGGATTGGACTTGTCTTCATTGGGCTGCACGAGGTAACCAAGTTGATGTGATGAGATATCTCATTGACGAGTGTCACTGTGATCCAATGACTGTTGACTGGAAGGGGCGGATACCTCTTCACTGGGCTGCTCGTTGGGACTATTCTGCAGTTGCTGAATATTTACTATTAACTGGTAAATGTGATCCATTGGCTAAAGACTATAAGGGGAGAACACCATTTAAACTAGCTAAGGAGGAGGGTAACACTGATACTCTTTCTGTCTTGAAGAAGTTTGGTGGTATAAAATCATCTCATCCAATTGATTCTTATGTTAACGTCCTCCTTGTGGGTAATCCTGGAGCTGGTAAAGGTACCCTTAGTCATGTCATCAATGACACAGCTAGTTTTACTTTTCTTGGTTCCTTTAGAAATGTTGGAGGGGTAGTGCCCTGTACTGCTGGTATCATTCCTTATAAACTACAACACAGGACACTGGGTAACATCATTCTTCATGATTTTGCTGGTCATTCAGAATACTACTCCAGTCACAGTGCTGTCATAGAGAATCTCTTACAAGGTTCTGGTGGTGTGTTCCTGATAGTAGTCAATATATTGGAAAAGAAAGCAGTCAAACAGCTTCATCAGTGGCTAACAGTTGTCAGAAATGAAGCACACAAAGCTCTTAATCAATGCCATGTTATTGTAATAGTCAGTCATGTGGATGAGATGAGTAATCCTGTTGAAAAGACAAAGAGAAAGGAAGAAATACAGGAGATTATTGAAAAGGGAAGGTATGATCGTGTCTTCTTAGATTGTCGTAAGCTTGGTGGGAGTGGTGTGGATCCTC